ATTGTCAGGTAGGTAGGTAGGTACATTCTCAAGTAGTTACACAGATAGATCAGCCCAAAATGACCCATAGGTTCCTTCAATGGAAAACAGTTTATTTACAGCTGGTTCATCTTCACTCTGTGGAGGAAACATACCTTGAGTGATGGATTTATGAGCAGCTACCTGATGATGTAGGTGTAAACAGACTCACCTGTACAGAGAGAACAGAGGGCAGGTATGTTTCTGCAGAGAGCAGAGTGAGGAGGCAGCAGGAGAAGGTGCAGCTCCTCCGGTATTATGCTTATAGATTAGCAGGATAAAATGCCAACAGCAGCAGAATTCTTTATGACCAGAGAGGGAAAACTGCTGACACACACAGACACACACACACACACACACACTCACTCACACACACACACACACTGAGCACAGCAGAGTTGAGCTGTTACAGGTTCGCTGTGTCCGACCTGTTGCTTTTTTCTGTATAAAACACTGTGACACTGTGTGTATAACTGTGTGTGTAATTGTGTATGTTTATGTATATTTGTGTACACTTGTGTATTTGTATTCTAACTGCCCCCCCCTCCACCAGCCCAATGGTAGCTCCCAGGGAAAGGTGCACAACCCCTTCCTGCCGACGCCCATGCTGCCTCCCCCTCCACCACCCCCGATGGCGCGTCCTGTCCCGCTGCCCGTCGACGCCAAGCCGCCCTCCACCTCGTCCACCGAGGGGGGAGGAAACTCACCCACCTCACCCAGTGAGTCACACAGAACATTTAAACAACATAAACTTTACTCTGTGCTCACATATAGAAAGGAACAGCAGTTTAAAGTTTGCTTCCCTTCAGGCTGTAACGCCTCCACAACAAAGAACCACATATTTTAATTATTAATCTGATATTTACTTCACATTAACTCTGTGAAAAGTGAACTGTTTGGATTATGTTTGACTGCAGGCTTCAGTGATGCTTCCTGTCATTTGGCAAAAACAGACTCAGTCAGTGCCAAAATATTTAATCCTGCTAATGCTCATCAACAACACTTGGATTTTTATATATATGTGTATATATATATATATATATATATAAAGTATATTTATATGTTTATTTATTGCTCCTGTTTTTGACATCTTTGCTGTGACCCAGATCTCCTGAAGAATTCCTAGAAGTCTTTAAAAACTTTTGTTTATTTGACAGCGCTGTGAGCAGCAGCTTAGATCCAGACAAACAGGTGGATTTGTTACTTTCGGATGAAGCTACGGCTAACAGTTTCCCTCCACGGCCAGTCTTTGTGCTAAGCTAGGCTAACTACACTCTGGACACACAAAGTAGAAACTGAGGCCTTTTTTTATTTTTTTTTTTTTTTGCAACATAAAGTCCTGCAACTCTGTGGAACCAGAACAACATGAAGAAGGAGAGAGAACTCAAGAAAACTTTTACTTGAAACTTTAATGCTTGTTTTTGATATTTTATTGTGTGGACCCCAGAAAGACTAGCTGACGTTTTAAATAAACAAATAAACTCAGAGATATCCTCTGTCAGCAGGACTCAGAATGATGGAAACCAGAGAGAAACATCTTTGATTATTAATTCCACAAAATTAGAAAATCCTGGAACCATCATGTCCAACATGTTTCCTCAGATGTTAAACCCTAGAACTTATGTCGTCTCCTCGTCCTGCAGATGTTAAACTATCTCCATGTCCCCAGACTTCCTCTCTGCTCTGCTCATCAGCTGTAGAAAGATGTTCCACCATCAGCTGTAGAAAGATGTTCCACCATCAGCTGTAGAAAGATGTTCCACCATCAGCTGTAGAAAGATGTTCCACCATGCTGGATGTATCTCAGCTCTTTTGTGTGTCTGTGCTGTGCAGCGTACTCCACCCCCACCACGTCTCCAGCTCAGCGGTTCGTCAGCGTCGGACCCAGAGATCCCGGCTTTAACATCCCTCAGCAACCACAGGTAACAGCAGGACCCATCTTCCGGGTTCCTCCGGTTCCTTGCGGAGGTTCGGGTACAACAACAAACTGTATGTTCCGTCAGGACTATGTGGACACTTTTGGTCAGTTTTTGCTGATTTGGGCCTCTTAGCTCCAGTGAATCTGAATGAAGAGGTGCTCTGCTGTCTGATGGCAGAAAATCAGCTGCAGGTTGATCATCTGCTCCAAACACTGAGACCAGAAGAGTCGGAGGCTGTTAGAGCTGCATGTTCAAGTCAAACCCTCACACGTGGCTCCACCTGGCCGAAAAATTTACCAGCTTCAAATCGCAATTTAAAGCAATGCAATGAGCAAATACTGTAATTTAGAATCTACATTATGCAGCGCATTTGATCCAGAGTTAAGACTGTGTCAGTGGTGTTTTAAATTCATGTTGTCATCCACTTTAATGGTGTCTCGTGTTTTAATAATAACAGCTGTATTCATAGAGCTCCTTTCTAAGACAAAGTTTCAAAGTGCTGCACAAAACAGATATTAAATTAAAGGAGATAAAACCATCAACAATTACATAAAGAATACAAATAAAATAACCACGATGCAAAGAATGCAACAAAAAATAATGAATTAATGAAGAACAAAGTAAAATATATTTAAAAAGTAAACACAATTAAACCAATCAGGAGAAACCTTTTGAGAAAAGAAATCAAACCATAATATCGCTCAGCGCTGGTGTCCACATACTTCTGATCATGTTGTGCACATTTATAGACTGTGAAACATCTCAGTCTGACTGAGGACGACTGTTGTTGGAACATGAAGCATTCAGGTGACGTCCGATTTGCAGAGAGCAGGTGAGGGGGTTTACCTGTGAGCCAATCAGAGAGCAGCGTTTCCTCAGCGCTGCATTTACTGCAGGTGGTCAGTGAACGAAGCATCCACCTCTGCAGGTCTGTTTGTCAGCTGATTTATGAAGAGTGTAACGACTGGACAGCCTTGACTTAACTCATCCCACACACACACACACACACACACACACACACAGTGTAGTGAGATGACAGTGAGGTGGGAGTCCTCTGCTGACAATCCAGACATGCTTGATTGCTTCAGTGTGTGTGTGTGTGTGTGTGTATGTGTGTGTGTGTGTGTGTGTTGTGGCCTGCAGTGAACGAGGCTGTCGATTTATTGACTCTGTCACAGGCCAGCGCACACACAGACACACACAGACACACACAGGTGAAGATGTGATCCAGGTGTTAGTCGTTGCTGCCAGAATCAGACCTGATATTTATCCTCGTCTCTCTGGGACGTCTTTGTCTCCGTGTTTTTTCTGCGTTGAAGTTTAATGTGGACGTTTCTCTAAAACTCCTGAATTCACAGAAACAACATTTTCTTTTCACAAATTCTACACCAGCAGTGGACAAGATAAAGCGACAGCCGGGGCGGTTTTACAAAGTGGCGTTTATTTTGTTTGGACAAACTGGAAAATAACACCTCACAAATTCTGACATGATTTTGTTTGTGAGGCGGTTTGAGAAGATGTGGTTCTTCTGGAAGCTGAGGACATTTTAAAGAGGGAATGTCTTTCTCCAACTGGTGGATCCGTTATTGTTTTGATGTGAAGAATAGAATATGTTGGAAAAGACATTTTGGGAGCGACAGGACATTTCCCATAAATCTGTTTACTGATTTTGGAATGTGAAGACATTTCTTGTAAAGTGGGGACAGTTTTTAAAAACTAGAAGATTAAAAAAAATGTATTAAAATCAGAAGATGCTTTGGACAGGGAGGATTTTTGGACAAGGTTTTAAAGACCGATGACATTTTTTAGCTGTTTGCCAGCATGAAAGTGTTTCTAAAACGTTGGGACATGTGAGAAATATTTTGGGGGAATTGTGACATGTTTAGAGAGTGAACACATGTTTCAAAGCGTGAAGGCGTGTTTTGTAATGTGCTGATATTTTTGGAAAGTTCAGACACTGCAGAATGAGAACATTTCTGAAAGAACACATTCAGACGGGTCGGTTCATCTGAAGCAGTCAGAACAGTTGGTTCTTTTTTCCACAGAACAACGTTTGATTTTAGAGTTTAGTTTCTGTTGAGCTGCTGAGGCTCCGCACACGTATGAAAGTGTTAACATGTATGTGCTGGAGGTCAGAAGATCAACACAGAGGCTGCTGCATTAAAGAGTGTGACGTTTGACACACACACACACACACACACACACACACAGAAGCAGGAACAAAAGTCACTGTGGGCGGTCGACATTCGGCTTCTGTTGGAGAGCGAGAACCATGGGACAGTACAGTAAACACTCCCTCCTCTCATCGCCATGGTGACCAACCGGACAGTCTGTGCATTCCTCTGTGTGTGTGTGTGTGTGTGTGTGTGTTTTTGGGGAGTGGGGGGCAGATGGCATCGGCTTTGTGTGAGAGCGGGCATCGTGCCCACATGGGTCAGCGTGGTGGTTGCCGTGGGCGACGGTGGCGGTTGCCCATGGAGACGAAGATGGAGGGCGGGAGTTGGCATCTCATCGTGCCAAGCGACACACACAACACACACACACACAACACAACACAACACAACACAACACATACTATGCAGAGGTTTTGGGTCAAACTGTTCAGATTCAGAAGGTCAGGAGACGCTGAGGCTGGATCCACAGAAGAACTCGTCCAAACCATCTCAAAGTGGTTCAAAACCAGCACACAATCCAGGTCCACGGGAGTCCAAACAGTCTGAAAACAGTATAAAACCAGTCCAAAACCAAGTCTAAAGCACCTACAAGCAAGTCTAAAACCAGTCCTAAAACTAGAACTGGTTTTAGACATAGTTTAGGAATGATTATTAACTGGTTATGACTGGTTATGGATATTGAGCATGACCAGTTTTGGACTGGATGTTGTTTAAAACTGGTTTTGTACATTGTTTAGAGTTGCCTGTGGACTAGTTTTGGATTTGGTTTTAGACATTTTACCTACTTTGTAAAGCATCTGGGACTGGTTATAGACTTAGTTAAGGCCCGGTTGTAGATTGGATTTAGATGTTGTTTCGGACCAGTGTTGGACTAGTTTTAGACTGGTTTTGGACTTGGTTTGTCACTGGTTTTAGACTGGTTTTGGCCTTGGATTAGTACTGGTTTTAGAATGGTTTTGGCCTTGGTTTAGTGCTAGTTTTAGACTGGTTTTAGACTTGGTTTAAAACTAGCTTTGGGCTGATTGTGGACTTAATGTTGGACTTGGTAAGGACTGGTTTATGGGTGGATTTTAGGCATTGTCTGGGACTGACTTTAGACTTGGGTTAGTCCTGGTTGTAGACTGGGTTTGGATGTTGTTTAGGATCGGTTCTGGACTGATGTTGGACCTGTTGTCTGATAATCAGAGCGGTCTTATATTCAGGTCGTATATATTCCACGAACCTCCATCTACCGCTACGATCTCTCTCTCTTTGATACTGATTCTATGTCGCTCGCCCAGTTCAGTCTTGTCCTGAGTCAGCACTTCTACACAACTCATGCACACACACACACACACACACCCTCACACGTACACACACACACACACACACACACACACACACTCCAACAGTGTGGGTGAGTCATGAGGTGGGCGTGGTGTTTGTGCTGCATATGTGTGTGTGTGAGCTTCACCTTGAAGACTGTGTGCAAATAGGACACAGAGACAGATGATGACTACACACACACACACACACACACACACACACACACACGTGAAGGGGAAACCACCCTCGCTGCAACGTCTGCTCCTCGGATGAAACCTGACCGCACACACACTTATTGATCAGGTCATGGCTGGCTGTTGTATAGTAGTGTGTGTGTGTGTGTGTGTGTGCGCATGTGTGTGTGTGTAAAAGTTTTTCACAGATTTCAAAATAAGAGCACAACTTCAAAGCAGCAGTTCAAGGGTGGAACAGCTGCAGGTCTCCTCAGGAGGCTTCAGCAGGTGGGACAGGTGATCTGCAGGTGATCATCATTGTAGATTTGTGGTTCAGGTGGAGAGCGGTTGTCCTCTGACCAAAGGTTGCTGGTTCGATCCCCTCCACAGTTGAAGTGTCCTTGGGCAAGACCCTGAACCAGAAGTTGCTCCTGATGGCAGGCAGCAGCTTGAGTGGCAGCTCTCTCACCATTGGTGTATGAATGAGTGTGAACGGGTGAATGAGAAACACATTGTAAAGCACTCTGAGGACCACGAAGGTAGAAAGGAGACCATTTGCCATTTAAGGACTGGTTTTAGCCTCGTTTGGTTTTGGACTCAGTCTAGGATTGGTTTTAGACTTTTTTTGGATGGTTCTTAGAACCATTTTGGACATTGTTTATAATTGGATTTAGACTGGTTTAGATTTGGTGATTGCATTTGGTTTTGGACTTGGTATTAGACTGGTTTGGACTTGATTAGGACTAGTTTTGGACATCGTTTATAACCAGTTGTGGACCTTGTTTCAGACTGGTTTTGAACTTGCTGGAGGACTTTAGATGGAGGGCTTTAGACAGGCTTTGGACTCGGTTTAGGACAGGTTTAGAACCGGTTTTGGACTTGGTTTAGAACAAATTTTACACAAATGTTGGACTTTGTTAATACTACTTTTAGGCTGGTTTTGGATGTGGTTTTGAACTTGCTTTGTACATGGTTTAGGCCAGTGTTTGGATTTGATTTAGAACTAGTTTTAAACTTGGTTAGAACAGTTTTTGACTGGGTTTGGAGCTTATTTAGACTTGGTGTTTGACGTTTCATGTTGTAAGATAGAATCTTGCTAACATCTAACGAGTCTGAAACTCTCTGGGTAGGACGCAGGGAATTTGCAGCTGAACGCCACAGACAGGACAGACTGAAAAACAGCAGACTGATCTTTACAGTCTCTCCTCCTCCCTCCTTCATCTCTCTGTGTGATGAGTATCTACAGTCTGAATCACAGCTGTCAGCATCAGCCGCTGTGTGGTAACATTACTCCACACACAGACACACTCTGTCTGGCCGCTGAGAGTTTCATCTTCTGAGTCTTCTCAGGACAGAGGGAGGAGCTGCAGTGCAGGAGGCGAGCGAGCGGCCGAGAGACAGCGGCAGACACTGGGGGAGAGAGAGCGAGCGAGAAAAGTCCCAGCGTCAGCAAGTTGTATTGATTAAAAACTAACCTTCCAGTCTTCTCCTCTATCACTACTGCACACACACACTGCAATAGAATTACAACGAGTCAGGAGCAAGTGAGGTCTGAAACCCTGAACACACTGCAACACACACTGCAACACACACTGCAACACACACACTGCAACACACACTGAAAGAACAGGAACTGTTTACCGTCCTGTTTTATTTAAACTTTGCATTCAACATTCAAAAACACATTTTCTAAATTGCGTGTAATTTTTTTAAGAGTGTGTGTGTGAAGATGTGTGTGTCTTCACTTTAAATCAATACCTGTGTGTGTGTGTGTGTGTGTGTGTGTGTGTGTTTCTGTGTGTGTGTGAAGAAGTGCAGAGCGGGACGGGGAGCAGAAAGTGATGGAAGGAGGAAGAATGTAAAGAAAAGAAAGGAGGAAGAGGATGGGGAAGGCGGGGTAGTCAAAGGGAGGGGTTGGGGGGTGGGGGGGTGATGCGGTTGCCTTGGCGATGGTAGTCACGTCCCGGGCCGTCTGGTTGTCCCTAGCAACCAGACATGATGTAACGCGGGGATGAACTTGAACTCGGCGGGGCAGCGAGGAAGAGGAGGGAGAGATTCATGAACGATGCACCTTCAGCGATCGATAGCAGCCGATCAGAGATGGATTACACACACACTGACGCACACACACACTAACACACACATATGCACACACATACATACACACACACAAAGTGTCATAAACTTGTAACTGGAGAGAAGAAAGTGTTCGAGGTCCTCTCAGGTCTGAGGATCTTTCTGGACATCGATCATAACTAACGCAGTGTGAAGTCCTGCTGGCGCCTCCTACTGGCTGCACAGTTCATCACAGCCGCAGCATTACAGCCCAGACATCCCACTGATTTATCCTCTCTCCAGTTCTACCGGAAGAGAAGAATGTGAAGTCTGTTCTGAAGGAGAAAAGTTTCTCCGAGGAGCAGAACCGGGTGAGAAATAAACTCCAGTTCTGGTTCAGACCCGTGCAGGTGAAACTGCTTCACCTGAGCTCAGGAAACGTTTGAACCTTCAGTTCAAAAGCCTGGAGGTTGCTGGATTTAATTTCTCCCACAGTCTGCACTAATGATCAGGTTTATTACCCTCAGTCCTTATCCTAGTATCATATCGGGTATCTGCTGATACTGACTGCTGATCTGACACCATTTTCCTAGAAAATACAGTCGGACACTTGAGGTGCAGGAAAATATTAAAATCAGTCCCGTGTTTCTGCTCAACAACTCAACAACTCAACAAGGTTTAAGAAAAAAAAACTGCATGTCTGCATCCAACATGTGCTTTTTATTTTTTTAAGTTGACAAACTGACCACAGTTCAACTAAGTGCAGCTTTGTTTCTGTTTTTCAACAAATAACCAATTAAACAGACAGAAAGATGCCATATGCAGCGCTTATCACAGTCCCATCCAGTGCTGCATTACAGCAGCAGAACTGTTACAATAGTAATACGACCACAGCCGCTGGAGTCCATTGATTGGTTTCAGACTGATTTAGACTTTTTTTAAAATCCGGTTTAGGAACTCGTGGGACTTAGTTTGGAATGGTTTGGGATGTTGTATAAAACAAGTTTAGGATACATTTTTGACTTGGTTATGGACTGGTTTTAGACTTGACTTAGGACTGGTTTTAGACTTGATTTAGGACTGGTTTTGGACTTTATTTAGGACTAGTATTAGACTTGATTTCAGACTGGTTTTGGACTTGATTTAGGACGAGTATTGGACTTGATTTAGGACTGGTCTTGGACTTGGTTGTGGACTGGTATTAGACTTGATTTCGGACTGGTTTTGGACTTGGTTGTGGACTGGTATTAGACTTTATTTAGGACTGGTATTAGACTTTATTTAGGACTAGTATTAGACTTGATTTCAGACTGGTTTTGGACTTGATTTAGGACTAGTATTGGACTTAATTTAGGACTGGTTTGGGACTTGACTTAGGACTGGTCTTGGACTTGGTTGTGGACTGGTATTAGACTTGATTTTGGACTGGTATTGTACTTGATTTAGGACTGGTTTAGACTTGATTTAAGACTGGTTTTGGACTTGATTTAGGACTAGTATTGGACTTGATTTAGGACTGGTTTGGGACTTGACTTAGGACTGGTCTTGGACTTGGTTGTGGACTGGTATTAGACTTGATTTCGGACTGGTATTAGACTTGATTTTGGACTGGTTTTGGACTTGATTTAGGACTGGTTTTGGATTTAATTTAGGACTGGTATTAGACTTGATTTAGGACTGGTTTTAGACTTGGTTATGGACTAGTTGTGGACCGGTTTTAGAAGTTGCTTCTGGAGTATCATTTAAGGGGTTTAAACTGCCTCAGCACCTCCTGTGTCCTGAGGAGGTCGGAGCTGGTTCTGGTTCTGGTTCTGGTCTTGTCCTGCTAGCTGCCCTGAGCCGCTCATGCTAACACTTTGTCTGTGTTTCTGTCCACAGTGGTACCTGGGATAAGGACTCCAGAGGCCCCTCCCCCTCCACCCACCTGTACGACAGATCGCTGCAGTCTCCTCCTCCACCTTTGACCTTTGACGCCAGCTGTGACAGAAAGCCCCTCCTCCCCCCTCTGCGCCTGACTCCGCCCCCACCAGCGCCATACACAGACTCAGCAGCATCAGCATGGCTACAGGCCCCGCCCCCGGTGTTAAACACCTGCTCTGTAAACTGTAGACTTCCTGTAGACATATGACTCATATGTCAGTGTCCATATATAGTGCCAGACCCTGCCCCCCCCTCCTAATCCAGACCAGGCTGATCAGTGGGGGCACCGAGCCTTCAGTAAGACTCAATCACAGAGCTTCCCCTCTGGAGAAACTACATATTTGCTCTCCCATCATCCTTTGCAGTGTGAATCCAATGGACTTGCAGTGGTACGACCCCCCCGACACCCGCCATCCGACCCCCCGCCCTGCTGGATCCCGACAGCTCGGGTCGGTGGGTTGGGATGAGATGTGGTTGGGGGTAGGAGAGGTGTTAACTGGGGCAGATACCACCAGCTAATACCCGACCCCCCACCCCCGACCACCACCACCACCACCACCAGGGATGGACTCCATCCTTCAGCTGGCCCCGCCCCCCTCCGGCGACAGGTCAGGAAGGCTCTTTCCGAGGACATGGACCAGTGCGTAACAGAGAGAGCCGACCTGCCGGAGGTGGTCTGGGCGCCGGCAGACGTCCTGCCTGCTTCACAACGATACCATGAACTACAGGTGCAGGGTGGGGGGCGGGGCGGCCGGGTGGGGGGCTTAGCGTGGGGATTTGGGGGTTTGTTGATGTGAAGTGTTGCGACCAGACGCTGGTGAATCCGAGCTTGTTTCTGCGGGAGGCTTTGGCTTCATGGCTCATTGGTTTTTCTCTCTTAGCCGCCATTTCAGCTGGTCCCTCCTCCTCCGTATCCATCCGCGGTCTGAAGCTCCAGCATGCTAACGGTGGCAGAAACTCTGGTGTCCGAATCGAAGCAGGCAGACAGGAGAGAGATGAGTGACTAACACTTTACCAGTGGAATATTGATCATGAGGAAAGTGCAATTTTGTTGGCTAGCTGTTGGATAGTTAAATATCTTTGTAAGATAGCTCGTTGAAAACAGTTGTTGAAAAGTATATATAAATATATATTTTTCTTCCTAGTCCGCTCACACCTCTGGGACTCTAAAATACTGGGGTAAAAAAGACAACACAGCGTTGAACTAGAAACCACAGCCTTGTGAGAAATAAGAGGAGCTGTACTCACTTTTATTGTTTCGTATTTGTTGTTTGTTCATCGTGTAAAGATGTTAGCATGGTAGAACCAGAATCCCTTTAAGAAATATCAGTTGAAACAATCAATTTTTTAAAGCATTTTGTTGCAGCTAAAGTCTGCTTTTCATTTTGTTTAAAAACAAACAAAAAAAAAAAAACGCTAAGCGATTAACTTATTTTGATCATTTGACTTTGAAAAAGCGATTTGAATTTCTCATGAGGCGAATCAGGAGAAAATTAACGAGTGAATTTAAAGCTAATCATGTTTTTCTGCGGTTTCTGTTCGCGAGATAATCTTTAACGGGTGCTGCCCGCTAACGGGCTGCCCCACGATTGGCCGGGTCTCCTAGAGGTCCCGTCCAATCAGAAGCACTTATTCCTGCAGTTGGCCAATAGGCCGTGAGTATGTAATCAGGGGGTGTGGTTTAGTGATGCAGAGGCAGAGCAGAGGGTAACTCTCTGGAAGCTTTCGTCCACAAAAAGCCGAGCGCTTCACATGCAACTTACCATTTTATTGAACTTCAGTTTTGTTTTTCCTTTTCCTATACTATATATATAAATATATATACACACACACACACACACACAGACACACTCACACCCACACACACACACTCTTACGACCATCCAGCGTTGAACAAAAGTGAATTTAAGTGAAAAAGCTATTAAAAAAAAGAACAAAAAAATCTGCATGTTCTAGTGTTAGTGACAAATTTTTCCATAGATGATGTAGTTAGTGAGATAAAGACACTATATTGTAAAACCCAACATCAGGCACTTGCCAGCAGCCGTCTATTAGTTTGGCCTGTCGAGGCCTTTTTCTATCGCTGTCCTTCACAAACAACCAGCTCTCTTCGCTTCTCGGCATCTCTCCATTCTTTTTAATTTCTCCTCCCTCCCTTCCTCCTTCCTTCCTTCTCCTGCAACAACAGATCGATTCTGCTTTTCAGTTCTTCTCTCATCTTATCAAATTGCACGAAAACAATTGTTCCTCATCGATGTGCCTTGAGCTACGGTCCAGTCCTGACAGGTTGCACAAGATCCAATGTGGAGAGTCGCGTTTGGTTGTTTCGTTTTCTTAATTTTCCTCCACACCTGAGATTTTGTAGGAGCAAAAAACGTCAAAGCTGAAGAGGAACGCTGTGAATTAGTCGCTGGTAAAACTCTCAGTATTACGAGGTCTTGGGCGGCGCTGCACTGCTTCCTGTCCTGCAGCGCCGAGCAGAGTCCTCCCAGGTGAAACCGACACCAGCTACCATCAGGTCCATCGTCTCCCTGCTGAAACTGGCAACCTGGAACTTTAGTGAAATGAGCACCAAGTCTGAACTCATGCCACGTTTAGTAATCTGACAGTGAAATTCATCCACAGCGAAAATCTCAGAGGCGTAAACATTTTCCGCTGTAGGCACTTTTAGCTATCAGGCAGCTAACTAAGGTTCATTCAGGTTTGCTAATTTTTTAGTTTAGCTGCAAAAACACTGTGCAACGCTGGCGAACAGTGTAGTTTAGCTGCTTCAAGTATGTTTAAGGACACGTAGGTCTAATACTCCCAAGTCTAACAATTCAGTTTACCAGCTGTAACTGCTCAGCTACCAGCTAAGTGTTAGCAGACAGTTAGCGGCCAGAGTTTAGCAGCGAAACATTTTGGCTCTATTCATCTAACATTTAATAGTGTTCATTAGTCCATGAGTTGAAAAGTGGCAAAGACACTTAAAAGTTGGCTTAGCGGTCAAGTTAGCGACTAAAAAACTTTTACAGTTACGTCATTTTAGCAGCTAAAACACGCTAGAATTAGCTCAATGTTCAGTTTAGCAGCCAAAGCACTTAAATGTTAGTTTGCTGTCACATTTAGCAGCCAAAACATTTTAATATCACCTTGATGTCAAGTTTAGCAGCTAAAACATGTTAATGTTAGTTTGATGTCAAGTTTAGAAGATAAAACATTTTTATGCTAGCTTAATTTTGAGTGAACAGCTGAAACACTTTAATTAATGTTAGCCTGATGCTGAATGTAGACACAAAAAAATTGTTTTAAAGTCTAGCAGCTAGTGCACCTCAAGGTTAGCTTAATCTTCATTTTAGCAGCTAAAAGAATTTGATGATGGTTAACTGAATGCTAAGTTAACAGCAAAACATTTTGATCGATGCTACATTTATCAGGTAGACTTTAGAATTAGCCGAATGTTGACATGATCAGCGAAAACACTTTATGGTTAACGTGACATCACGAGCTTAGCTTCTAAGCTTAATGTCAAGTTTAGCAGCTAAAGCACGGTGAAGGTAGCTTAATGTTGAATTTAGCAGCTAAAACAATTTGGTTCCACTTTACTAACGGATTACTTTGGTTCAGTTTGGGTACCAGCTACGTTGGTATGTTCCTGTCAGTCAACCTTTACTGTGTGACTGTAGCTGCAGATGGCCCGACATGATGAATCTGTGGTGGTGGACCAGCAGCTAGAACAGATCTGGATTCGTTTCTCCTGATGTTGAAGACATGCTGCTCATTTGACTAAACTTCCTGCTGCTGGTATGTTGATGGAGCAGAGCGTAAAGCTGCAGATCAGTTCAGTTTAATCATGTTTTTCTTCTCCTTCGTCTGGTGGGACGACTTCTACGTCTGTTGCTGCAAACTCCGAACAGCAGAAGTTTTCTGTTTGTGTCTTCCTGTTTTCAGTTCGTTCTCCTACTTTTGTTCCCAGATATGAATAACGAGGACATCAAATATGCAATACCTGCTTGCACTCACTTATTTTGTCTTTATTGAGTTTTATTTTGTTCTCTTTTCTTTCAACCAAAGTTGGCGTGCACGTGACTGCCGTCGTGCTCCGTGGTCAGTCCCTAAAAATGGTGAAACCCTGCGGCGCCGCTCAGCCGAGCTAAGCCGCCGCCGCTCGGGTCTTTTCCTTCCTCCTCCTCCTTCCTGTTTTGATAAACTACCAGACGGCCGCAATACGACATCCGGGTCTCTTTTCTAAAAGATTTTATATTTGATTTCTTTGGTCGCAAGCAAGCCTTAAACAAGTCCAACTTCTTCTCCATCACACAGAAAACAGTCAGTGAAAACTTTTTTACCGCCGCCGAGGTTTCAGCGAATCAAACCCGTCGTATGTCGGCTGTGATGGTCGAGTTGTTCCACTTGTGTGGGTTGTGTTTCCTCTCCGTGTTTGTTCTGTCTCTGTTCTTGCCTACCCTTTAGCCATGAGTTGGGCATTAATTATCTGCACTAAATATGAAATAAATAGTGAAAAAGTATGAAATTTAAAAAAAAAAAAAAAAAAAAAATTACAGCTTCCAGGGCTTAAAAAGAGTGAAGGGAATAAAAAAAAAAATTGCACGGACATTTTTTTAAAGTGTCACAAAAAACCTTGTGTAACAGCCTAGCATCTAATCAGCGACTTTTGGCTGTGTGTGTAAGACAACAACAAAATTGCACCCTTTTTAAAGAAAGAAAAAAAAAGAATATAAAGCAATAGTTTGGGCAGTGTGTTTTGTTCTTGTGTTGTGTGTGTAATTTAGTTTGGTACATCAGCGAAGCGACGCAGAGCAGAGTTAGCTGCTGACGGACGGAGAGCAGAGCAGCAGGGCCCTCGGCCTGACTGGGAGACGTGTTTGTATGTTGTATAGTTTTATTAATTACACTGATTTTAAAGCTGCCCTATTTTATAATGCAGGACTTTTGTAACATTGATTAAATGAGGAAAAACTAGTGTTGTGAATTTTCTGATTGTTTGTATCGAGGCCACATTACTAGAACTGGTTTGGTTTGTTTTCTGGGAACTGGATTTAAGTTGAAAACTTTCCTGTTTCCTTATTTTCTTGATTTTTCTTCATTTGCTTTCCTTTTTGTATGTATTTAAGGACATTTCCTCTGTTGATGGTATAGCATATTCCTGCACTTACACAGTATAGGGCGCTGTGGTGATAAGACCATTGTAAATGGATGTTACAGTATGCTGTATGTTTTTGAAGGTTCTTTGTTGCATCAGTGTTGATGAAGCTAAATCTAGTAATTCTGAGGAAAATTGGTAAGAAAAGCGAGCGTTTTTTATGCATTTAAAAACTTTAGTTTTAGGCAGGAGACAATGACATAGCAGCCAAAGGATGCCCCTACTATAAATGCATCTCGGCATCTTTTTTTGT